ATATTAAATCTCAAAAAAATATTTTCCTTTTTTCTTAAAATTTATTACAAAATATTAAAAAAAGTAGTCCCTAATTTTTTTTATATTTTGTAAGAACAAATTTAAATGTTGAAAAATTTTGCTAACCACCATTTTCTTTTAAAGGACATTTTCATGTAATAGTTTTATATAATTATACTTATTATAATTAATGGTAAAACAGTTACTTTGGCTTTATGGATTGTTAAAAATTGTATTATGAAAAAAGTTTATATTTTGGTGGTAGAGAATAAGCAGAGTGGCTTACTCTCCTGGAATTACTTCGTTCATATAAGAGTGCAGGGACTCTTCCCATATATGTCTTTTGAAGGCTCGAGACATTACCAAAATTCTCCCCTAACATAATTTTTTATAAAATTAATTAAATATGTAGTATCTTATGAATATCGTGGTGTGTTTAGTCACGGATTTCTTTTTAAGAAATAACTCATTTTCTTGTTCAATTTCCTATTTTAATTACTCCCATATTTTATTTTATAGCTTATTATCCGTATATATATAGAAAAAATTTAAACTTTTTTACAATAAAACCTTTTTTATTATAATTTATACCGTTTTGTTCCTAATGCCTATTAATATGCCATGCGCAGCAGATATCTGGTTTTATAATATTATAGAAAGTTTCGAAAACATTTTTATATTTTTCCCACGGTGTTACTTGTTTAAGAGTATTATTGGTATACATAGTGTGAAGGGATAAAAAACATTTCTTGCAATTTTACACAACATCCATTGTGGAAGCGTCTTGTTATCTGAATATCTGGAAGGTGTTATTCATTTTGAGGTATTTTTTTTAGATTTCTACATTTTCTCGTTCTTATTATACACTTGCTTTTATAAAAATATTAAGAATTACAAAATATTTCAATATAAACTTTGAAAAAAACGGTATCCATGCTTTTAGAATTATAAAACCTAATTAAATTATTTTTGTATGTTTCATATAAACTGCGTAATTTAACTTGGCACTTGAAGAAACTAATTGTAGTTTATACGGTAAGGTTTGGTTGAAATTATTTCTGAGTTTCTTAAATATTTACCCTAAGATTTCCGAAATTCATTTTAACTTCTTCAGCTCAAAATTCTTTCATCTGAAGAATGGTCTACATTAATAAAGGTATTTTCCTTTAAAAAGTTGTGATCTAACAGTACGGTTGTAGGAAATGGCTGAAGCTATTCACGAAAATTTTATTTCTATTCTTAGGTTTTATTTTAATTTACATATGTTTAAGATATTTAAAAGTTATTAAATAAACATTAAAAATTTAATAATCGGGTCAAATCATTATCATCCAATTTATTTCAAAGTAAACCGTCTGAACAATTAAAGAAGTAGGTATATTTATATTATGGACGATTTATAAAATTATAAATGTTTTATTTTTTTCTATACGTCACTTATATAACAATTACATTTATGATAAACATTACGCGACACGAGTACATTTGTTCTCTAATGAACGACAATTGACGTATCACGATGTTTTGCAAAATATATTATTTACCTAATAAAACATAAATTTTGTCCGGTTTGTATATTTTTGATATTTCCTTGAGCTCGGCAAAGTAAATTGTAATTCCTGTTAATTCATTTTAACTATATTTAAAATAAATTTACATTTATTGTCTTCAGTCTGGTAATAAAGACAGTTTTTCTAGGGTTCCGTCTTGAAACGGGAGCTTATATCGATGAATACTCATGGTATTCTATACGCATATTTGTTTTTGCTCTATCAAAAGAATCATCAAAAATCAATATTTACAGGGTATTTTTAGTTTATCTACGAATATATAACATGCCAAAGATGACATGTACCAAAAGTACATATAAATATGAAAACAATACTTTTCCATTGTAATTTAAGATTGTAATTTAAGAAATGTATACAAACTCATATGAGTGAGCGTGACTTGTACTCATTTTATTTATTTTTATGATATCTTTAGACAAGGATTACTTTAAAGATATTTATATGTCATGTCCATGTTTAAATTTATTATACGAGGGCGTGTTATATGCTAAATGGACGATAATTGAACCCCTACAATCTACTAACAGCAATATCTATCTCACTCACGTATTGAAGGATAAACAAGGGCGATCATGTTGCAGGTAATGTTTTAACATGGTTTTCTTGAAAGAATCAAACGAATTTAACGCGAAATAATTTGTTCTATCTACTACTTGTAATAATTAATAAATAAGAATAACAAATGATTTGTCCTTCTTAGTTGGTATTACATAATTTTTTTTCGAAGATGAGTCTTGAAATAAAAACATTATTTTATATTTTTTAAAAATTAAAAACACTAACAGAAATATAGAACGTAAAACAAAAAGACCACTAACGCGGTAAAATTTTTGTGACAATTGGCTGATATAAATTGATAATTTATATGTGATATTAATTGTCAACACCAAAAAAATTTAAATATTGTATTACCGATCAAAATTACTATTAATTTAATAAAATTAAATTACAAAATAATTAAAGTAACAACATTCTATATATTTAAAAAATATCTAGAAGTAAATTAATTTTACAAACTAGTAACTTTACAATTTTATTGACTTATTAATTTGACGGCAACACATTGACTGAGGGACATAAAATGTTCACGACGTTTCAGTTAGCACTGAAGTGTGCATGGATTACACTGGACAGATTGCCGGTATGTTAGTATTAAATCTTAGTTTTAATTTTAAAATACAGCTTATTTGTCCGTAATATTAAATGAGAAAAGATAATTAGTTCATATTGTGCTAAAAATATTTGTTGCTTTGTAACTATGTTAATCTCATATATTAAAACTTCATATTCATTTGGTATTTTTTGTATATTTTATAAATATTCTCGCGAAATAAATTTAACTTTAATAGCTATTTGCCTACCTTTTTTTAATGTTTCAAACGATGAAAGTGTTATAGTCAGAATAGGGCCTCTATAAATTGTATTTTAAGCAAGGTTCGTGTTTTTAAATATAAGTAGAAATAAGAAATACATCTGTATTAAAGAACCAATTTTTCTTATGTAATTGTTATATTTTTAATTGCTGTTGATACAATGATGACATTTTACGCAGAACATTATTCAATGGGTTGTATGTGAAAATATTTTGACACGGTCTCATTGTTTGATAGTGTTCAATAATAGTGTATGTTTATTAATACATTGCATTTAGCTGTCAAAACTTGTTTATTACATATTATTTACTATTAAAACATCTCAATTTATAATGTTTGTTGAAAGTAAGACTATTTACAATATACATACGAGTATCTTCTTCTTCTACTAAGTACTACTAATAGTTTTGGTTAATTGTTTTTTTTACGACCGGCAACCTGCCTGACATCAACCCTCTTTGGGAATACATTAATCAGTGATGTCTAAATACTCTTAGAAAATACATATGACTCAGAAAAATCACATTGTTACTTGCCAGGATCGAACCCTTGCCGTCATACATGATAGGTGGGCCTTTTAACCACTAGGCCACCACGGACTTTTATATAATTACGAGTATATCTATTAAAATTTTACTTTAACCTTTGTAAAGGTATTTTCATATAGTTTATGAAGATACGAGTATATGGAAGATTTTCAAACCTGTTGTTAACACGATAAATCTACATATTCAAATCTAAAAGCGGCCCTTTAATTTATTTACTCGAACGATCAAAGCGCTGATCTACATTTTTCATGATGGCGTGCAGTCAAATGCATAATGATTCACCAATTTACATTTAATATTAATTCAATAAAAGCGTGAATTTCACTAGATTATTTGAATAACTTTTCAATTAACCTAATCAATGTCTTATAGATTCAGATTCTTGGCGAGTTTCATTTAAATTGGAATGCATTCTTTAGAAACTTATTAATTCTTTCTATTGTATCCTGTTTTACTTTAAATTTAGGTTTTTAATTGATTTAATCTTTAATATAATATATTTAATAGAAATAACACTTGAATAGCTGTAAGTTAAATATATAAGAGGTATTCTTTGTATTGTACTGAGAATTATAACATTAGGTACATTAATATACATATGAAATAAAGGGAAATTTCATTATACTTATAATATAGGAATACCTTCCTATTCTATTTTATTTAACAGTTGAGGCCACTTTTAATTTAATTTTATTTTTTAGATAGACTTTTGTGAACTGTAATTTCTTAACATACGTACATTTATTTATGCTTTTATATATTCCCTTAAAAAAAAGAAATAATTATTGTATAAATCATAATTTCATATTGGTGTGTTGGTTTTGTATTTATTTTTTGTATAATTTGATTTTAATCACATCATTTAATAGCTGGGCCATGTATTTGGAAGTAAATACTAGTACATAAGTAGGATTGAAAGTTCATTAAGAAAGCTTATCGGCTTAGTTTTCAAATTGTTTAATTTCACAAACTAGTATAAGATTTTGCATTTAACATTATCGATACAGTTGTCTTAAGAATTAATTTGTTTTATGTTATGTTTTATATGTTTCACTTATGATTAATACCATTGCATTGTATATATGTTCTCGTGTTACCTTAAATTGCTATATAGCAGTGACGCAGAGATTCTGTATTCGATATTGATTGAAGGGATTTATGTTCTAATTACAGCTGGACGTGCCACTCGAACCGTTGATTAATCCACCAAATCGAGGAATACAATTTTTGAAAGATGGTATAGATGTGTTCGCTTTTGTGATCGGAAATTGTTATATATTATATACAAGATTTTTCTACGACTTACGACTAAGTTATCTTTAATGTTTAAATATATCATTTGTATTTGAAATAATTATGAAAATTTATTATTGAAAATGTCATTTGTAATAAAAAATAATCTTAGTAACTATTTATTGGGATAATATTGTGTTATGAAGAGGTTTGATAAGTCAAATATATACGAACTTCATACACTTCTATAATTATTTTTTCAGATCACTCCAAAAATGGTTGTCAAATTAAACAACATGAAGTACCTGCCACTACTCGTGTTTCAGTTTATACTGATGGCATTATATTTTGTGTTTGTAAGATATGGCGGGGACAAACACCATGACGTCAGGGGTGAGTTGTTTACATACATAAGTAAATAAAAATGCTGTGTTACTCTATTATTTTTTCACAAACATTTCTAAGGCATCTTAATCTTGAATAGGGTCTGGATTAATTGTATTTTGATTAAATTTAGTCTTTTTATTGGCTGCAATGTACGTACGAACTTGCACACGTATTTTTCTTTGAATAAAATTTAATATTTGTAACAATATGATATAGTATAGCGAATGTTTTGTATTATTGTTCCCTAGATTGTATAAAATAACTATAAAAATCAATTAAATTAATAGTTAAACTTTAACAAAGACAGAGAAAATATAAATGTTTATAAATTATTGTTATTTATAATTATTTAAAATTCGGTCTCATGTTATGAATTTTTTTTACCATTTAAATGTATACACGTTACATTATACATTACAATGAAGTTTTATATGAATGAATTTAGTGACACGTTTTGCGTTGATAAGAGCTATAATAAGGAATTTAAATTAATTTTCATTAACAGATTTTAATAAGTGACAAATGTACACATATTTTCAATACATATATTTGTAAATTATTTTGTGACCTAAACTTAACTTTGTGTATTAGTATTGATAGAAACATCATTTATAGTATATAATAATAGAGCAATATTAAAATAGAACAAAAAGAAAAATTTCATGATATTCCCATCGAACCAAACCAGATATGATATGAAGGTCACTATGTTGAGATCATCTCCGCATTTAGATTATTGTGTGAACGACACTTGACTCCCCCAATCCATGATCAAATGATTGAACAGTTTTATCTAAGTGTGTATGTAAACAAAGACTGCCTATTAAATTCTTAATGCTAATGACGTTACGCTAATCAGGAAACTCAATTTATATAGATGTCGATTACATAATGTTATTAAAAGATATTGTTATCTGTGTGGCTTACTTTAATCTAGCTTATATGTTATACAATATTTATCATTACATATTGTAAATTTGATACTTTGCCTGGATATTTAAAACGTTCTCCTTACAAGACATTATTGGCTATCGTGTTACATAGTCTATTAATTTTGGTCTTTGAATTTATTAATATTAATTGGTGTGTTGATTCCTCTGTTAACTGATGTGGATCATTTTTATCAATGATATATAAAGTAATCCTATAGTTTTGGTTTTTATGAGGATACATAGGATTGGATGTATGCATTGTCAATGTGTAAAGTAAGCGAATTGAAATCAAAGAAATTTGATATAAAATTACCCACATATATATTTTTTAAATCAATTTTTTTAACGAAATGTAATTAATAGTAGAAGAAAAAGAAATAGTTTTAATGTTATTAACAATTGAGACTAAATTCTTTTAAAATTTAAATTAATAAATAATCACATTTTTCTGAAATATAACTGTAAAAAATATATAAATGTTAAATCAACACTGCAGTAAATGCTTTGATAAGGAATTTTTACTAGCAAATCATAGAGATTATTTTTTGTTTTACGTAAGTTTTAATATGAAATTATTCATTTACTGTTTGATTCACTTGTTAAACATTTGTTATTTTACTTATATTCTGAAAATTTCAAAACTTTTATGTTATTTATTCTTATCTTTACTTGACAGACCTGCATTTTAAATGAAAATATAGATTTCGTGGATTTTAATTACTTACCACAAAAAGTATAATGAAACTCAAATCTGGTTAAAAATATTAGAATTAATGAGTAATAATTTTCAAAAATTATCTGTTTGCTTGTTTTATCGATAAAAATTTTTATCAGAAAAAGCCATCACATACATATATTTTTCTTAAACGTTATTGACTGGATTGTGTTTGACACTACGGCTTAATTTCCACTTACTGATAGGTGGAAATTAAGCTGTAGATAGTGAAAGCACTGATATAAGTCAGTAATAGCCTATCTAATCTATCCTTGAAGACGCTCAAATCATAATTGGAAGGAAACACAGAATATCGAGACACCGATGTAGAATATAGAGGGATTTGATAGTTGAGGCCCGTACTCAAAGCTGACTAGATTGGTTTTACTAAGTTGTGGTCATCAATAAGCCTTTTCGTTCACCTCTCATTGGAGTTCAAAGCAGTGAAGTGATATTTGAGAGCGCTTGCTCACATTTGGCGTAAGTTTTCTACCTTGCCATCAGAAATGTGCTTTATACAGATAAAGAAGTCATCCCGGTTTCAAGTACTTTCGTAATTTATGGCACCGAGTTTTCTTACGGCTGCCTTAACTGTTAACTGAATGAAAAGCTGAAACTTAAGAATTGAGGATACATCAATACTTATAAATGAAGACCTTCGGTGTATTTTACTAATACATTCTGACAATTTGGCTTTAGAAGAAACAAACTTCTTACGACGGTAAACACATGCTTGTGTTTCGGTAGTTAAATATTAATAAGATTGTTTAAAGGGTTTAAATAACACGCTCTTGCTTTACCAAAGTCTTTTTTTCCATAGTTAGCCCTAGTGCTGGATTAAAACGACTTCATAACTATACTGCCAACCATAATTACAACCATGTAATAACAATTTCAAGAGAGTTTTTGATACAATAAAATACTTAATCATTCCCAATTTAGCTCAACATCTATTAAACACATATCCTTTAACCCAGACTTTCGACTTCATTTTAAACTTTTCACAGAGTCAATTATTTATTACTAATGGTAAAATGGTCATTGAAACTTTTGAATGACATGAATGTTTAAATTATTTTATGTTAATTTAAAGGTAATTATTATTGTTTTAAGCGATATCCTTAATTAAATGAAACACGTTAAAATTAAAATTTATTAATTATTGACATTTCATAATTTGTTTTATACCAGTATATGCAAAAATGTCTATTTCAACGAGCAGTTATACGGAACAACGAGTAGTTTAACTAATTATGACTTTTTATATATATAAATACTATAAAAGATTAATTTGTTGTAAAATTTACAACATAAGCAATTTTAATTAGATCGTAGTTTCTAATCCAGTTAATAACGCAAATGACTTGCCTTATCAGAAGTTAGAACAAGTTACTACGAACGCGTTAGTCCCAAGTAGTTTGTTATGATGTATTAGACCATGTAATCAAAATTTCAGTCGAGTTTAGCCATGGCATTATAATTTATATGAGATAAAATCTTTTCTTATTATTCTTTAATAGAGTAATTTTAACAATAAATTTATTTTTATTTCATAACATTGAGTAGGTGTTATTGACCCAAAGAAAAAAGAATGTCATTCTGAATATTGATTGAATTTTGAGAATTGAACACACCTAATGATATGGAAAATGTTAAAGAAACTAATATATACTAAAAAAATACAAAATATGAAATATATCAACCAAAAATAATTAATTTCTCAATATAATATGATGGTAATATTAAAAAATCTATAAGCTTATATTTCAATGAAACCTCCTACATTTTGCTAATTTTGCTAGTCATTTAAGCTTGAGATATTCATCGCTGTAATTTTTATTGAAATATATATAATTTTTTGAGGTCAATAATGGTATATAAAAGTACACTTAAATTACTGGAGCTTCGACACGAAGTAAATTCTTTACAATTATTTTAGTTAGTTCACAGTTTGAGATAGATTAACACATTAATATTTCATTTATACATACTTTGTATTGGTTGTGTTTATAATCCTTAAATTTTTACTATTAATTACATTAAAATACCTTTCCCAATAAAATTGTCCCTCTTCAGGAATGACCGCATACTATATTTCATTCGATTGTCCAATGTAATTTCACCGCGTATGAAAGGCTTAGACCCAAGTGAATAAGAGACACATTAATCCCATGAGATTTAGTATGAGGCCGCAAAAAATGACAAAATATTCGCTCTAAATTTGAACATTTCATATGATGAGGATAACTATGGTTAATTAAATAAAAAATTAAATAATTTCCCCAATTAAAGTTTTGGTGTAAATGGCTTTAATAACTTATCATTCATATTGTTATCTTGTTATCATTATAAACTATGTAATAAAATTAATAACTTAAAAATTTATAGCGTTCTCCTTTAAGTACTACAAAGATTTAAAAAATAATAATATAATCATTTTTTTGTTACATTCGGAGGTACATACAGAACAAAGAAAACTTTAGGAGGATAAAATTTGAAAAACATTTCGTTCTTGTCAGATTTGTAAAGACATAAAAGATTTGCGAAAGTAACACTAACAATAATCTCAAATTTGCGTGAAATCATATCCAGCGAGAGAACTCAAGTACTTTTTCGTCTCACTGACTTTTGTTATTCTTACTTTAGCAAAGGAATAGTTTCATTTGGTTAATAGCAAAAAATAAAAAAAAAATATTATGTCTATCAATATAAAATTTTCATACTTAATTGTTAATATTCTTTGCTTCCAATATTATTCTTTCATAATTATTTACTGACACGGCTTTAACTTTACAAAATACGACAGAGATAGTTTTATTTGATTATTTAGGTTACCTCATGCATATTGTAATTAGAATGGTTTTTATTTGAATATTTTTTACAGGTTTTGAAGATACGCATGTTATGATATTTGTTGGATTCGGATTTTTGATGACTTTTTTGAAGAAATACTGTTACAGTGCGTTGGGTTTTAATTGGTTTTTAGCTGCTTTATCAGTGCAATGGGCTCTCTTATGTCAGCAATTTTACCATATGAAAGACAACATAATTTATGCAACAAAAGAAAGCTTACTAGGTAAGTATTTGAAATCTTGATTTAAAACACAACGTATTGACTTAACCTAACAAGTAATTCAATTTCGATTACGATTGTAAAAGCTTATACAAACGTCAAAAATCAAGTATACAAATATATGTAAATTCGAAAAAAAAGATCGAAAGTAAAGACACTTACTTATTTTATATTCATTATTAAAATTGTATTTTTGTATAATATATTTTCCGAATTATCTTTTCTATGTGATAATTTTCTTACTACCTTATGAAAATTAAAATAAAGCTTACATAAAAATAAAAAGCAGTAGTATGCCTATGGATTTTTTGTTGGTTCGCACTTTTAAATAATGAGTTAATTCAAATAAATTTGGAGTGGCCATTATTCTATTGTAATTATTTCATATTGTTGTTAGCTTTCTTCAGTTTATATTCCATTCTTTAAATAGTGTTTAATAGATATTGAAATTGGGTCTTTATCCATAGAGGCGGACATAATGTCTGCGACAGTGCTTATAACTTTTGGAGCTGTTCTGGGACTAGCTAGCGGCTTACAGTTGCTTCTCATTGCAATTATCGAAGTTGCTGTAGGATGTTTTAACTTCTGGGTGGTGGCTGATAAATTACAGGTAAAAGAAATGTTATCTATTATTAGATTGTTAATGTTACTCTGATCAATGAAAAGGGATTATCGTAATAGATATACGAACATATATACACATATGAATATATACACCGTTTAAACTTAAAAAAACATCAAGCAGCTACCGCCCTATCACTATGCTGAACATTGTCAGAAAAAAATTAGTCACGAATTGTATTCTATAGAAAATATACTTTGAAGTGGAAAAGCTAAAATCGTTTGGACAAACAACGAACTTTAAAGTCATAAAATAGAATTACTTCATACACTCCTAAGCAACAATAGTTGTTGCTAATAAATTTATTATGACATCCACTGGCTTTAAAAATTCATAATATAATAAGCTATTTTAAAGCAAACTAATGAAAAACTCTTCGCGACAGCCTTATAATCCTAATCCTCTTGCGTTAAAAAATTTCAACTGTTACTTTTCCCGTCGAGGTGCTTTTAGAACCTGACGGTTAAAAAGCGGGAAAAGGTATAGACAATATACATTCGTATACGCGTCCGGTAAAAACTGTAACTCAGTGATATGGCGTAAGCCATGGGAGAATAGGGCGTATTCCATATCACCCTCAATTTAACTTTGTAACAGGACGTGTTCCGGGCTCTTATAGGTACCATTGGGATTTAAGCTTGAATTTTCCCTACCTAATAAAGATGTTAAAACCAATACGGCGAACAGGTAGCTGTTTAAGTAGAAAACAAGTTGTTACTGGTAATCTTTACATAAGTCTGATAATTTTTGTTTCCGTAGGCAGCTGATGTTGGGGGATCAATAGCAATTCACGCATTTGGTGCATACTTTGGATTAGGAGTCAGCTTTGCTTTACATTTAGGTAGGAAGAATACTGAGGCGACTCCTCAAGCGACGAGAGCACCCATTGAAGATTTAAGTGGGCCAAGTTACAGTTCTGATGTTACGGCAATGATTGGTAAGATTTTATATTGTTAATTAAAAAAAAATACCATTAATTTTTATGTTTTATAGAAGTCAAATGAAACGCTTATGGAATAATTTTAATATTATAACCTAAAATACAGAGCTTTGTGTAAGAAAAAATGCATAAATCTTTCATTTATAGGATCCCTGTTCTTGTGGATTTATTGGCCTTCTTTTAACTCTGCTCTTACAAGCACAAACACTGAGTATCAAAGGGCCGTTATCAATTCATATCTATCATTGGCTTCAGCTACTGTAAGTTTTGTATAAACCAAATCATAGGACTTATTGCAGTCTTCGAAGACTTCTAAAAATTTTTCCTATCCTATATAGGTAACAACATTTGTGATGTCTACACTTGTGAGCCATCATCACAATAAATTGGATATGGTTCACGTTCAGAACTCCACATTAGCGGGTGGTGTTGCCGTTGGATCAGTGTGCAACATGCACATATCAGCTGGTGGAGCTATTGCTATTGGCATAGGAGCTGGTTTTCTCAGCGTTTTGGGATACAGATATCTCACGGTAAGGTTTTATAGACGCTTTTTTATTTCAATTTTACAATTAACAATTTAACATAGTACGTCACTTTATATATTTTTAGGATGTTAGCAGAAGAAATATTTACCATAAATCACGTAATAAATGGATTGTTTTTTCAGCCACTTTTAACTAAAATTGGAATACCTGACACATGTGGAGTCAACAACCTACACGGGATGCCCGGTATATATTCAGGTATCCTCACAGCCGTATTCGCTTCGATGGCTACGAAAGAAGTATACGGAGACGAATTGGGAAATGTTTTTCCAGCAATGGGCGGTGTAAGTTTTAATACATATAAATATTTTATTATCTATTTAAGTTTAAATCATTTCTTTACATAGGATACATTAATTGTATAAATCAATATTTATTAATTTATTATTTAATACCAATATGCAGGAAAACGGAATAACGGCATCACAACAAGGACTTAACCAATTCTTAGCTTTAGTTGCCACACTTGTCATTGGACTTGTTGGCGGAGCTATTACAGGTAAGCCAATTTAACATAAAATTATATTATATGTATCATAAGTATTATCTTATTATAATTATTATCTTATGTATCATATACCTTCATCTGGAGGCCTATAGTTTAATGTTAAATTTTCCAGGTGGCATCGCAAGGTTCTTGAAGCCACTTAGTGAACAAGAGAAGTATAATGATGAAAACGATTGGGAGCTGCCTTAATTTATCAAACAGAAAGGAAATTTTCCTTCGAATAAATTATGTCGTAAAATCTTAATTTTAATAAAGAAATAAAGCGGATGTTTAATCGTGTTTTCTTATAGAAACGTTTTATAAAATAAAACATTTGAAATGATTAAGATTTTTATATAGAAGTTGAGAAAATGTATGTCTGTATATCAATTTGTACTTCAACATGACAAATATAAATTTGATTTGATATTTTAATTTTGACTGTTTAATGTCGATATAAGCTTAACGTTACATAAGTCATTTGGAAAAAGAAATATTAAATGTCCATGTAAATTATGATTATTTTATATTAAATAATATTAACTATTAACCACGTTATTTCATTACCTATGTTATAAATTATAGTTAATACTATTATGTCAATTATTACCAACATAATGTATGCCATCAAACTATTATTATAAATAAAATGATTATCAACATTAATCGTTAATCTTGTTGCGAATTCCTAACCGTACTAACTGAATATCGTTTCTAATTACGGACGGCTGAAATACTGGACATTGATTAATTGATGGAAAACAAAAGTAGATTGTTTCTTTCTTCCTTTTTATATAGACATATTTAATCGTAGAAAGCTGTTGACAAAGCTTATATATTAACAATGAATCCACAATACTGATATGATAACTTCGGTACAATATGAATTATTCTGTTTATCCAATCAATCCATTCAATTGTATGTAGGTGGAAGACATTCAAGATAATGCCTACAATTGAATGTATGATCACTTACTGCTATAATTTTAATGCCAATACATTATAAGCTTAGTCAGTTTTCATTAAAGTTAAGATAAAATTCAAGGATTCTCTGTCAGATATACTTGAAGTATAAAACTTGAAACTTCAAAGAAATTGAATAATTTATTAGCACTGCAAAATAAAGTAATTAAAACATATGAATCGAGTAAAATCCATCTTAACTTGTTTGAGCTTTTGCTAAGAATATTTAAACTAGGTCAGCAACAACGGATTCATAGAATGTTATACATAAGTTAATATGTATTTTGTAAGATAGAATCTTGCTCTTAATTCCTTCACTTGGTATTTAAATAACCTTGTGTCATTTTATATAATTTTATTTTTTGTCGGCTACAAGTATAAATTAAAAATTGTAATGAGTTTTTATACAACTCTGCGGCAGGTTTTTTGTGCCATCGGCATGTAACTAAATTATTCAAATACAGGTATTTAAATATCTTATTCTTAAAAAAAAATTATAGACAATATACCAACTACATTCATTTCTTTTTTCAACACATTTACCAAGAATTCTTACAATAAAATTTACGAAATTTACTTTTCATAAAGTCAAATTTCTGTTACTTGTTGAAATTTATTACAATTTCTGGAACAGACATCGTCATGTTTGAAATAACCGTATGTCAAATCATGATTTTTTCATCTCGCCCTCGGGATCTATTAACGTTTATAGCGCTGTTTCTTTCATCATTTTTCATTTTTGTTTTCATCGCCCAATTTCACATGGCTTTCTATAAAGCTAGCACCATTTTTGACTTTGATGGTGAACGATATTTAAATTTTTCTGTGTATATTATTACAATCTATCTAATCATTTTTATGAAACATTTTAAATACTCCTTCTGAGTAAAAAATAATGAAAACATTTTGATTGTTTATTTGGAGTAGGACATTGTTTATTCACCATTCATCAAAATAAATTGAAGTCAATTTATTCAATGCAATCTCATACAGCATTGGTATGTTAATACTTTATACATTGAATTATTTGTCAATATGTACGTTGTTTAGATTAATTTCTAGTATGACACTTTATAATACAAAAACTATTGTTCGTTTGTGTGTTTATTTTTTTTAATTCAATATTTATTCTTGGGCTTGTATATTTATAATTTGATCAGAAATAAATCTTATTTAGGACACTTGTGGTAATTTTTTAAGCTCGTATTCTTTATAATCCCTACTAATATTATAAATGCGAAAGTAACTCTGTCTGTCTGTCTGTCTGTCTGTCTGTCTGTCTGTCTGCTACGCTTTCACGCCTAAACCACTGAACTGATTTTAATGAAATTCGGTACAGAGATAGAGTTGACCTTGAGAAAGAACATAGGATAGTTTTTATCCCAGACTTTTGAAAGGTTCTCTTGGAAACGCGATATAACCGAACTCCACGCGGCGAAGCTGCGGGCGGAAAGCTAGTATTGTGTGTAAGACGTCAATTTCTAAGAATCACTAATTATTTTTATTCTTCAAAAATACATACTGCTTATTTGGTACCATCATGCTAATGAAATTTATAGTTGCTTACGATCATTATTCTCCTTATTTTAATTGGCAAAAAGAAATTTAGTGAAAAATATGAATATATTACTTTTTATGTACAGAGTTTACTAAGTTTTTTTTACCCTTCTATTACTTTAAATCAAATGATCAAGAATATAACTTTTTTTTTAATTTTCATGTTTGAATGATCACGTCATCTTATAGATTTAAATAATTTACCTTAATTTTTTTGTAATGGTTCTTATCTCTCTATTTATAAAAAGCTTACATACACAGTTTAAATAAAAAAAGCTAATATTAAATTTTATATTCATTAAACTTTTTAGAATGTGCACAGGTATAAGGCAAGGAAAAAGAAAAACAAAAAGAAAGCTTACGCTCTCGTATCCATCTAATGACATGCAGTTGTAAAAGAAACGAGTTGAAAAAAGAAAAAATATTGTAGGTTATATCTCTTTAATTCCGTATATATTTTAGACTAATGACCTTTTTAATTTATGGTGAATACTGTCTCTTTTGAATAAAGTCGAATCGTAGTTGTAACTACTAGAATAGTACATATTTATAATAACAATTAATAGTGACAGTGATCATACATTACATGTAATTGTTTGTCATAAAAATGACTAGTAAATAGTAAACACCTACTCTCGAACAAGTTTAATGGTAAGATTTCGTTTATTGAACCAACGTTGAGAATAATTTTTCAATGTGTGTAGAGAAGCTCCTCGCTAATATGTGTCGAAAATGATTTTTTAAATTATACTCATTCAAGGGTTAATACAATTATAGGAACCCCAACCATTTTTGAAGATTGAGTTGAATAGTAATATTTTCACATTATATTATTATGTTTATACCAGACTGTAATTACTAAAAATTATGTCAAAACATTAAGTTAGATTTATCATAAAATAGGATCATATACGAATGATCTGACCGCGATATTACTTTTTCTTTCGTTTGAAAATTACATATTAATCTAATATAATTAGAGCATATTGATGGAAAATTTGACCGTATAATTAGCAACTAGAATTAATCGCAATGATTTCTATTTTGGGTCTTTTAATGCGAGTATTGGAATGATTTTATATGTACTACGTTAATATCATTACAAATATATTTTTTTTCTCTCTCACTAAGGCAGATCTCGTTTATGAAGTAGAAAACTGTACTTCATTATGTAGTTTTTTACGAATTTTTGTTTTAAAATTATTTTTAAATAAAAAGAAGAACGGAAAAAAAAACAAAAATAAATTTATATTTAAATATTATATCCTAACGAAGCCTATCTAAATATAATTTTAAACTAACTGGATGAAAATTGACTAAACACTGAATTTAGAAAAACCAACACTATTTTAATTAAATTTTCTATAATCAACAATTTCTTAATATCTGATCACCTTTTGAAGTCTGTGCCATAGGTTTTAAGCTGAATGGGTAAACATTCTTAGTAAACAGATTAATTGTAGGTTAATATCGTTTGCGTTTGCCACCTTTGACATAAGAAAGTGAAAGGCTCTCAAACAAATCAATAAAAGAACACGCAACAGCAGAAGAAAAAATGATTCTTAGCAATATGCGTGCATGGGAATTTGGAAAATGCGGCACAATTAAAATCTTCAACAATTTTGTTTGGTTTGACTCCATTTTAAGAATATTCCATTATAAAAACATGACGTGGTGACTTTTAGACCATATGGAGGGCGTAACCGTCCACATTAAAAAAATATCTTAAATTCGTCCTGGAAGATTAAAAAAATCGGGGAACAAACATAAAGAAGAAAAATTAATACAAATTGAAAACCAATTTTTTTTTGTAAGTTAATTAAAAATAGTATACAACAATATTAGTGAAAAAACCCATTAACTTCTTTTTTATATGTAGCCATGGTACTTTGAGAAAACGTCATCATTTCTTTAGTTGCAAAGAATGGAAAATTTTATTGAATTAATTTTATGTTTTCCCATTTCCTGTTTTATATCAATCAAATAGGCAGTACAGATATATCAAAGAGAGAGGTTCGAAATTAATGGATTTCACATAAAAAAAAATTGTTTCAGCTTACCTTTATATCGAAATATATAAACACTTTAAAAAATAAAAGTATTTTTGAAATATTAATTGATATTTGTTTACGTGTATTTATACATTAGAATTCATTTTAAGATTACTACCTGATTGAGGTTTCTTGATTCCCGTGAATCTTCTGAATCCGACAGCAGATTTACTTAGTCATGTATTAATCCCAGTTTTAATTGGAATTTAGAAAGAAAGCAACTGAAGAATAAGATTCGGATTGAGGCAAAAGTGTGTTGATCAAAACACAGCTATAACATTTTATATCTTTTTATTTTGTTAAAATAATAATAGATTAGTCGAATCAAAATATGTATTATATATGTACATAACATTGATATATGTACATAACATAAATGAAATGATACTCTGATTATATAATTTTAGAATTATATATTACTATATACATAAAACAACGGCTATAACAAATGACTATACTTTATCTTCAAAGGTGTAACTTAAAGATGTTTTCGATAAGTGTCAAATCGTGGGAAAGTTATAAGATAAAACGGAAATCTCTGCTGGGAAACAGTTATTCTTCGTAAAAAAACATTTTTTGTTTTATTACACCCACGACGACTATAAACGGTTATTGTTCTATTTCTTTGCCAAATTTTCA